CCTCCAGGGGTGAACTGGTCAACCCACACGTCCTGGAGGTCAGCTCCACTCACCAAGTTCGTAGAGAACGAGGGGAGGTGGAGTCCCGACAGCAAGCCCGACGGGGCCGCAGGACACGGTAGAACCGTGGAAGAGTGCGCAAGGACTGGGCCCCCAGAGGGGTCAGCCAGGGAGACTGCGACAGGCCGACTGAGCGGCGTGAGTGTGGTGCTGTCGCAAAAGAAGGAGCGCGAAGCACCAGAGTCAAGTGTGAAAGTGTGCAAGGACTCAGTAGGTGCAGTACCAGAGAGAGCAGACTCACCAGCACCTGGAGCAGCAGACTCACTAGTACCTGGAGCAGCAGACTCACCAGTACCTGGAGCAGCAGACGCAGTAGCACCTAGAGCAGCAGCCTCAATGCCCGGGTCGGGCGGAACACACAGGTAACAGTCACCCTCAGCACTATCAGTCACAGCATACATGGCAGCAAGGATAGCATCGAAATCAAGATCAAAGATAACAATATTCTGCCTAAGCAGATCACCCCAGCGAGGGAGCTCAACAGCGTCAGGAAACTGGGCGCGCCAAGCATCAGTCAGGCGACCGAAGAAGCGCTGCGCAGTGTGTGGCAGCCCGCACGTCTCCCCACGGCGCCCGCCGGTGCGAAGAACGTAAGTGCAGGGACCAACACCCCCAGACCTCCCACGCCCAGCATACCACTCACGAAGCTGCTGAGCCGACGGGGTCTCACGGGAACGCGGCTGCTGCTGGCGCTGGCTACCACCAAAGCCTCCACGCTGCGCGGCTCCACCTCGACCAGCACCACCGCCGCCGCCACCTCCACCACCGCCGCCGCTGCCTCCACCGCCGCTGCCGCTGCCTCCACCACCCCCACCGCCACCACCGAAGCCCTCACTCCCTCCACCACCCCCACCTCCACCGCCACCCCCTCCGCCTCCTCCACCGCCTCCACCGCCGCCCCCACCGTCCCCTCCACCACCTTTGCCCTCCTTGCCCTTGCTGTTGCGGCGTCTCCCACTGGGAGCAGACGCAGCCCCGACCTCCTCAGTGCCAACGAGGTCGACAGCAGCAGCAGAAGCAACAAAGGGGAGAAGGGGGACAGGGGAACACCCCTCAAAGAAAGGGGCGCGAGGGTCGCCCCGAGAAGCACCTACAGCAACGATACTCTTCTCAGCTGCAGTGAGGCGCTCCTCTAGCAGGTCGACGGTGAGCTCGGTGGGGCAAAGGGAGAGAACGTGGTCCCTGACTGAAGCAAGGGAGTCAGGGAGGCGGGTGACTAGGTAGTAAAGGGTGATGTACATGGGGGGGGGGGGGGGTTTCTTGGCACAGAACTCAGTGGGTAGGGCAGCGCGGTAGCGGGCGTCACTAGTGCGAAGGTGAGCAACTAGGTCAGCGACTGTGGCAAAGGCAGCAAGGTCAGGGAACAGGTACGGCAGCATGAGGCGGCTGAGGGCAGCAGTGGCAGGGGAGGAGTAGCGCGCTACGACAGCGTCATACAAAGACTTAGCAGTCTTGTACTGGCCAAAGTGCGTGCGCTCAGCAGACGGTAGGTCACTACGAACAGCAAGGCGAGCAACAGCGTCACGAGTGGTCCACTACAAGCGAACCGTACTGTCAGCAGTGGCAGCAGGTGCAGGAGAGACACTGGACGTGTGATCGAAAAGGGATACTCCGTCCTTAGAGTCACACTGAAGAAAGAGCTGCAGGTCGTCAACCCACAAGTCAAAGTCAACCGCACGCCCCTCAGCATCAAAGGTAAGAACATTAGGGCTAGCCATAGCGGCAGTAGCAGCAGTAGCAGCAGTGGCAGCAGAAGCAGCAGTAGGAGCAGGAGCAGCGCGGGCAGGGCAGTGCGGCTCAGTAGGGCGGCGCGGCTCGGCAGGGCGGCGCGGCGCGGCAGGGCGGCGCGGCTCGGAGGAGCGGCGCGGCTCGGCTGGGCGGCGCGGGTGCAGGGCAGGGCCGCAGCTGGAGGTTAGGTCAGGGCCGCGACTGGGGCGGCAGCAGGGCAGGGTCGCTATTGGCGGCGGTAGAGCAGGGCCGCGACTGGGGCGGCTGAAGGGCAGGGCCGCGACGCGCCGGCGGCAGCGCAGGGCCGCGACAGGGCGGCGGCAGGGCAGGGCCGCGGCTGGACGGCAGGGTAGGTCAGGGCCGCGACGAGCAGCGGCAGGGCAGAGGCCGCGGCACGCGGCAAGGCAGGGCCGCGGGTGGCGGCACTAGGGCAGGGCGCGACGGGCCGTTAGGGCAGGGCCACGACGGGCCGTTAGGGCAGGGCCTTGACGGGCCGAGAAAGCAGGGGGCCGCGACGGGCCGTTAGGGCAGGGCCGCGTCGGGCGGCACTAGGGCAGGGCGCGCAACGGCGCAGGTGAGGCAGGCGCGAGGCGCGCTTCGGGCAGGGCAGGAAAATATATATATATATATATATATATATATATACATATATATATATACATATATCGTGGTGGGCCCTAAAAAAAACGTTCCCACGAGGGAACCTGCTCAGAATACCATGTCAGAATAGTGAAGGAATGAAATGACTGAACTAGCAAGCAGGTGGGTACAAGTAGGAAACCTAATTGTGTTGTACCCTATATGAACTACCCCACTACAGCCTAGACAGACTATAGCATATAAGTTTGACACTGGATTTCCTGAGCGATTTCGTGCTTCAGGCAGCCGATGTAGCGGTCGATGCGCTCGCTCTCGTGCATGTATCCCACCTGCTCATACAGCGCCAGAAACCCGCTGGTGTAATCCTGGACGGAACCGAGTTGGCGCCAAGTGCGGAGCTTCTGACGCGCCGTGATCGAAGCTGCAAGTGGCTCAAATCCAGCATGCAGACCTGCGCACCACGTGTCCCACGTGCGATATTGGGGCACCTCCACGAAATAAGACGGCACCCAGGGTCCGGTTTGTCCTTCCCGTGTCGATAGAGTCATATAGTCCATCGGCTTCGTGACGATGACACGCCATCAATCCATGGCGGGTCCTCGCAACAGCGACACGGCGTAGCGGATCTTCGCCGTATCCTCCGAGACGTAGTCCGCGTCGAAAAACACGTTCATGGTGAATAACCACGCCTGAACGGTAGGACCACCTCGTTGACTCGGGTCAAAGCATGGCGGACGCTGCGGCTTCAGCGGCATCGGCGACTGCAGTGTTGACTCGCCGGTCGGCACCGAAATTGTGACGATGTGTTGGCTTCTGGCCGCATTCGTCGCTTCAGGATGTGTCGCGCCGTGGTCGTCATCTCCGTCGTTGCGGACGACGCCATCGCTGCCCACGCTTGGGGGTTGCCCCACACTTCCGTGCTGTGATGCTTGTTGTGCGGGTTTGTCCCGGTATGCCTTGTGCTTGCGATTGTGCTCGTGCGACGTCATTTTGCAGGGTGCGTTCTGCCGTCAGCGCTGCCATTTCTTCAGAACTTTCGCGGAGTTGCTGCAGCAGTTCGTTCAGACGCTCCTGCGTGAGACTCGTGACATCAATGTGCTCAGCCATGTCGAAGGGCATCGGCTCAGCTTAGTCTAGGCGCAGTCGTGGCTGCACGCGTTTACGAGAGAGCGCGAGGGCAGCGGCTCCTAGGTGCTAAGTGGCGTGAGTCCCTTCGAGCAAAAATCAAAAGGTGATTTCCTGGGGTGCGGAGATGCGCGGTCCGAAAGGAAAGTGGCTCTGATACCAAGTGTTACGGGTGCAATGGAACGAAGTAGCAAGAATTGCACTAGAGTGTAAAAAGAGTACAAAGTATGAGCGAAGGCATGAGCGAATACTTATGTGCGAATACATGGAACGGTTACGCGGTGCGTGCGAGCTAGCTAGTGCTACGCTAGCATGGAGGTTCGGGCTAGCCCCGAAGCGTAGGCCGACTCGGCTGGGCCAGCAGTGCAAGGTTTGGTGAAACATTGCGCGCGAAGTTGGCGAAGCCCCGTTAGCAGTAACGGGCGAACAACGACTGCTGCTGTACGCGATGTTGGTGGTCGCGGTAAGGAATGTTGAGAAAATTCCTTACAGTCACACAAGATTCAGCTTCGTGGAGAACAACGAGCCATGAGACTGCCTGATCCAACAAACAATTCAGAAACTACAGTGAATAAAAATCATAAATGATTAGCGATAAAATATTTACACAACAACATGCCATAAGACAATGAAGCAAATAAGCACCCCCCCCTCCACACACCCCACAAGGATGAGCTCTGCCTGCTGCCTCTTCTCTCCTGCCAAAGAGCTTACCAGCCCCACAGAATTTGGTGGACACAGCTGAACTTCAACGCCCCAAGAAACCTGACGAGGCAAGGTATTCGTCATGACCCCGAGACAAAGCATTCTCTACAACCAGGCCTCCTTTTTTAAGCAGGCCTGTGAATGAATCTCTCCTCTCCTTGCCTCGCTACCTATTTCCCTAGTTCAGGCAAAGGCCCTCATGTGCTGACATGAAGGCCCTTAAGCATGACCTTCAGGAAGGTACCAGACGTTTTGGGACATGCTTCTCAAAAGAGCGCACAGCACAAGCAGCACGAGGATGTTATACTGAGCTGGTCACAGCAACTGTATTGGAGTGACGAGGGTTGTGAGAAGAAACAAGAGGCCAGTAACTTCTGGTGAGGCAGGGAGCAGGAGGGAATGGTTGAGGTGGAAAGAATGGTTGAGGTGGAAGGAGTGGTGGGAGAGGAGAGGGGAGATGGCTTGGGAGGTTGGTGAGGAGGAGCAGCGTGGGAGGGAGAGAGGGGGGGGGGGAGGGAGGAAGTGGAGGGGGTTTGCAGGAAGTGTTTCGAGATGTGCCAAAAGAATGAAAGGAACAAATCAACACTGCTACAGTCGCCGCTCTTCTCCCATCACCACTGCTACTACCCCCTCTCTCCCCTCCCACAGACACACCACTCCCCCCGCCCCTCCTGCCACCATCCCCCTAAAACTGCTGCTTTGAAAGAAAAACAGGGCAGTCTGAGGAGGCCATGTGGCAGCACTGCCCACGACAATGATGCCCCCACTTGCTGCAGTCACTGCTACTTTGAAGGCGCCTCAAAAACAGCAGCCCCTGTCCCTGCTGCTACAGCCACAGTTCCACCTGCTACAGTCGCCGCTTTTCTCCCCTCCCCACTGCTCCCACCACCCCCATACGGGGCCCTATGGGGTGGCAAGGCAGCACCGCTCCCCATGCCCATAATGCCCCCACCGGCTACAGTCATCGCTATTGTTTAAGCGCTACTTTTGGGCCGTATGGGGCGGCAGGGCGGATGCACTACACACGCCCATGATGCCCCCATTGAAGTGGATGGGCGGGTGCCCAGGCATGGGGTAGTGGCAGCAGCACTCCCCATGCCCATTTTCCCCCCACCTGCTGCAGTCACCGCTATTCCTGAGGTGCTACTTTTGGGCCGTATGGGGTGGCAGGGCGGCAGCACTACCCACGCCTATGATGCCCCCATTGAAGTGGATGGGCGGGTGCCCAGGCATGGGGTAGCGGTGTGAGGGGTGTGCTCCTGGCAAGTGTGATAAAAACGAGGGCTGCGGATGGGAAGGGAGGCGAACCAGAGTGGGCTGTGCTGCAGTAGCAGGTACCATTATCATCCTCTGGAGGCCGAATTGAGCTGAGGAACCCGGGGGTAACGTCGGTCCTGCTACAGCCATTCCTGCGGCTGTAGCAGCTGCTGTAGCAGCTCCATACCCAATCCCCACCCCTGCCCCTCCTGCCCCTCCTGATCCTCCTGCCCCCCCTGCTCCACCCACTCCTCCTCCCCCAATTCCCCCAGCAGCAGCACCAGCAGACCCACTACCACTGCCAGCACCACCAGCACCAGCAGCGGATGCAGTGGCAGCAGCAGCAGCGTTTCTCGGGGCGAGAGGGCGCAGATTGGTGGTGGCGCCACAGGGGCCGATCTTAGAAGGCACCTTCTTCTGCCTCCCCCTCTTCCTCTTCACTATTAGCTCTGCACTCACTCCCCCTGCCCCCACTCCTCCTCCCACTCCTCCCACTCCAACTCCTCCCCCTCCTCCTGCCCCTCCTCCCACCCCTCCTGTCCCTGCACCTCCTGCCTGCCCCCCTGTCCCTGCCATTCCACCCGCTCCTGCTCCACTCGCAATGCTGCTGCCCCCACTGCTCATGCTAACACTCATGCTGCCCCCTGCCATCCCATACATGCCCATTCTCCCGCCTGACACCCCAGCTGCACCTGCAGGTGCGAATCCCACCAAGTGCTGCTGAGGATGGTGTGGGATGTGCGGGTGGTACAGGTGGTGCAGAGGGTGGTGTGGTTGGTGCAGGGAAGCTGTGCCTCCAGGTGAAACCCCAGATATCATTCCGCCAGACACCTGAACCATTGTTGCAGGCACCTGACCGACCACCTGACCCATCCCAGGAGAAATCTGGCGCACTGCCCCATGCCCACCGGCCATCATCAGGTGCATGCGCTCAGGTGCTGCAACAGACCCAGGAACCCTCCCATGGAAGAAACCACCTGAGAAAACACCTGGCTGACCACCTGAAAATCCACCTGACATCCCCCCTGCTGCTCCTAGAGACCCTGGCAGGAACCCTGCTCCAGGAGTCACGCTAGCAGAAGAAAGGAAGCCGTAGGGACCTTGTTGGTGAGTGAGAGGAGAGGGGGTAGTAGGGGAGAAGGAAGAGCTCATATTGATAGCACCCACAGGTGCTGCTGGGGCTGATGCTGCCAGTTGCTGCTGCCTTGCCTTCTGCTGCTGCTGTTGCTGCTGCTGTATCGAGCGTGCTGCTGCTGCTACACCTCCCTGGGCTTTCCTTCCTGGGGCGGGCACTGCTATCGGGGATGCTTTTATGGGGTACAGGGCTGGGGGTTGGGAGCCTTTTCTTTGGCTGCCGCTGCTGCTGCTACTGCTGCCCCCACTGCGAACCCCTTGAGCTGCTGCGCTGTTTGCGGCGGCAGCAGCGGTAGCGGCAGTAGCAGATGTAGCTGCAGTAATTGCAGTGGCACCAGCAGCAGCAGTACCAGCAGCAGTGGCACTCTCTGTAGCAACAGGAGGAGCAGCAGCAGCAGCATTACCACCAGGTGCTGTTTCTGCCCCTTGCTCTGCCCCTTCACCCCTCTTCCCCTTCTCCACCCCTCCCTCCACCTGCATACTCACAGCACTACTGACAGCAGCAGCACCACCACTAGCTGCTGTAGCTACCCCTTGCTCTGCCCCTTCGTCCCCCTTCCCCTTCTCCACCTCTCCCTCCACCTGCATACTCACAGCACTACTGACAGCAGCACCACCACTCCCAGCTACCCCAGACGCATCCCCCATACAAGCCTCTTCGTCACCACGCATGGACGAAGGTACCAGCACCATGGGTGGAATACGGTTCACATCACCAGCTGCTGCTAGTGCAGATTCTGATGCAGTTGCTGTTGCTGCAGAGACTGCCGCCTCTAGACCAGCCCTCCTCCCCCCCATTGCTGCTGTTTCAACCCGTTTCTCCGATCCACCTCCCCCTATTCTACCTTCACCAGGTCTGCCTTTCCCCTTGTCCTTAGGCAAAGAGGCACCGCCAGTACAAAGACTAGCAGACGAATTGATGCGAGTGCCAAGCCCCTTCGAACCCAGCCCCTCGTCCGCCGAACCTGCAGCAGCAGCAGCCGAACCTCCCACACCTGCCTCGGAAGCAGCAGCCTCCGGCACGGAAACAGCGTCTTTATAAGCAAACCCGATAGTGGCAGCTGGGTCGGCACGGGGGCGAATTCGGCGGCCCTTTTCCTGAAGCAATCCTTGCATTTGCTCGTTATGAATAGAAGGCAGGGAGTGGCTTGGGTGGTGTTGGTGGTGGAAGGAGTGTGGTGTGGGGGGTGAGTGGGAGAGGAAGGAGTGGGCAGTGGTTGGGGGCGAGTGGGCGAGATATGACAAGCCGTGGAAGCTGGAAGGAGCATGGGGATGTCTGTGCAGGGCCATATGTGCATTGTACCCTCCAGAAGCAGCAGCAGCAGAAGCAGCAGCAGCAGCTGCAAAAGCAGGAGCATAACCTCCCGCTGTGGCATAACCGCCAGCAGCAGCGCCATAGGCCCCATGGTGTGTGGCACTAACATTTCCCATGCCCATGCCCATGCGCATGCTCATGCCAAGAGAGTGATTCGCTAAGGACTGATGCGCTACGGACTGATGTGCCACAGACGGATGTGCTACAGACGACATTGCATACATGTGAGGCGGGAAAGCTGAGGCAGGCGGTGCTGACGTGGACAGATGGGAGAACACACTGGAATGCCCAGGGGGGGATGGAGACACGCCAAACGGATTCCCAGGCGCACCAAACGCAGCTGATGCTCCTCCCGGGCCCTTATAACGAGAACTGGAGAGCCTCTTAGAGGGTATAGCGCGGGCCAGTGACGGGCCTGCGTGTGTGGCGGTTCTTTTCAGGGGGGCGCTGACAGTCAGTGCTGCTGAGGCTGGCGGGTAAGGGGTGGAGGCGGATGTAGAGCGGTGCAGAGGAGGGGAGGTGCGCGAGGCGGGAAGGGTACCCAAGGAGTGGGAGGGGAGGATGGGGGTGTGGGAGCAGTTGGAAAGGGAAGGCATGGGACTGCTGGTGGAGGGGCGAGGCTCAGTGATGGCTGATGACATGGCTGCTCTCTTTCGCGTTGGGATATCTGAAGCAGAGAGGGGATGGGAGGTAGGAATGAAAGTGGGGTGAAACACGAGGTGACAAGGCAACCAAACAGCAGATGCGAGAAATTTGTTGGAGAGGATTGGGGATATGAAGGAAAACTTTGAGCCAGCAGAAAGGGTTACTGAGTGAAGGCACGTTCAGATGGAAAAGGGGTGTGAAGGGAAGGTATGGGAAGAAGGGAAGGGGTCGGGAGGGAAAGCAGCGGATGAGGGAAAAGGGAAGGGAGAAAGGACAGGTTGTGAAAGGAAAAGCAGAACGTACCTCGAGCAGCAGGCCTGCTTGGCTTCCCTGGCCGCTCCTGCTTCAGGGGCTGCTCGGCAGCAGTAGGCGCAACGACCTTACAGCTGTCACCGCCACCAGCAGTAGCAGCAGAGGAATCACCAGCGCCGGCACTGGCAGCAGTGAGGGTCCCAACATCTGGATCGGGCACCTGAGCTAACACCTTAGGGGCCCTGGGCTGCACCTGCGCCTGATTAACCTCCACCTGTTCTGCCTTGCCCTGCTTCTCAACCTGCGCTTTCTCCTGGGCGGATTTAAGCGTACTGGGCTGCTTACATCCCAGCTTAACCCCGGAACTTTGAGGCTTGTTCTGCTGGGATGCAGCCTTGGGCTGCTGGGCAGGGGGCATGTGCGGCATACCCCATGACATGAACATCATATCACAGTCCATCGCCTCGTTCTCCCCTTCTCCCTCTCCCTCCCCCTCCCCCTCCCCTTCCCCTTCCGCCCCTTGCCCTTCCGCTGCCCCATCTCCATCCCTCCCTGCTGTTCTTGCAACGGCTCCCTCCGCTTCCGCCTCCCTCACTCCATCTAAAGGTTCCGCCCCCGCGCTCTTCTCTCCAGCCCCTGCTGCTTCCGCTACTGCACCCTCCGCCCCTGGAACACCCGCAACAGTCACACCCACTGCAGTCACCCCAGCTGCGTCTTCCGGCGCTGTTCCAAACCCCCAGAAGGCTGCAAAGTCGAGGTCAAACGAGGGCTCCTCTAGTAGCATGTGCCCCCCAGGGTGGCCGAGCCCATTAAACCCACTGACAAACGGACTAGCAGCAAAGGGACCAGACGCAAAGGGGGCAGCGAAGGCGCTGAAATCAGCATCTGTGTCCGTATTAAGCTCCAGGGCTGCCACGTCAGCAGCACCGTCAGCCACGTCATCGTCACCATTGCCATCATCATCGTCATTTGCAGAAGTCTCCTTCTCATCAACCTCATCGGCCAGCTGCACAGTTGTGTGCCCCATTCCCGCTACATCCGCGTCCACGTGGCCTGCATGAGCCAGCTGCACAGCTGCGCCCGACTGTAGCACGCTCATAAGGCACCCGCCCCTCACCCTCTTATCTGACGTCAGCGCCTGGTGCCCACGGCACAGCGGGGCTGGACCCCCGACCACGCCAGATACTATACCACCTGCAGCAGGAGAACTACCAGCACCACCTCTTGACTCTCCAGTACCTGCTCCTGCTGCGGCAGCTCCTGCTTCCGTTTGTGAAAGGTCATGAAAGGGTGCATGCGCGGACGCACGGGGTGGGTTGTGAGCAGGGCGTCGAGCTGTAGCCACGTCTTCACAGCCCGGCCAGGAGCACCAGGCGAGGTCGTCAGGCAGGCTAGGGCACTCCGACAGCACGTCTCCTTCCTCTCCTTCTCGCTCCACTGTCCACTCCCCGCCCCCCTCGCGCCCTAATGCTCCCTCCCCCTCCTGAGCCGACCCCCCATCCCCCATACAAGCTTCCCCGTCGTGCACACTGAAGCCGTCTCCCTGTCCTCGCGCTCCCTCTGCTGTGCACTCCGCAACGCCAGAAACAGCACCACCAGAAACAGCGCCGCCAGAAGCAGCACCAGAAGCACCACCAGAAACAGCACCACCAGAAACATTCCCGATAGAAGCATCACCAGCAGAAACAGCACCAGCATCACGAAAATCAACAGCATCCCCTACTTGCCCATATTCATGACCGTCTGCCACACGGGTATTAGGCCCACACTGACCTCCCCCTCCCCCTAATAAGTCACCCGGAATCTCCTCTTCCCCTTCCCCAGGAACCATCAGCCAATCAGCGAACTCCACGTCTGCCCCGTCATCCCTTACCCCCGCCCCGCTATCCCCTCTTCCGCCTCCCGCCCTCCCCGCTTCCTCCGCCCGAGCGCCACCAGCGTCCCCCCATCCCATCTCCGAATCCGGAAGCGCCCACCGCTGCTGCTCCTGCACCGAAAGACCTGAAAACAACCCCCCGCTTTGCGTCAGAAACGGTCCTACACTCATAGGAGGTGCTCCAGGAAACGCACCCCCGCTTTCTACAGGTATGGTCTCTCCGGATGCGCCAGGAAACCAAGGCCTCTCCGCCTCGGCATTACCAGCCTTGGCGTCAGCAGCTTTCAAGTCAGCCGCTTCAGCAACGGCCCCCCCGACTGAGGGCCTGTGCACAAAGCTCTCATGCTCGCGGACCGTCTCTAAGAACCCGTCCCCCGCCCACCGGAGAGGCAGAGACCTCGCTTCGCCCGCTCCCCGCCCCGGCCCTCCTCCTCCTGCTCCTCCTCCTGCTGCTGCTGCTGCTGCGCTGCCTAACGAGCTGGGACCCCACCCTTTAGCCTGTCGCCCATGCGCACTACTCGCAAGCCCCCCGCGAGCCCCTAAACCTGCGTGCTCGTCTGGCCGACTGGCTGTGAACACGAATCCTGTATGGCCGTATTGAGAATTGCTGCTGCTGTTGCCGCCGTTGATAATTTTGTTGGTAAAGTTGTTGCTGTTGCCGTTGTGATTATCCAAAGGCGTCGATTCCTCTACCCCTGGCAGCTGACCGCAACTGCTGCTCCTCGCACCGTACTCCACCCCTCCGGCATACCCCATCGCTGCTACGGTTGTAGTTCTACCCTTTACTGGCAACCCACTGCTATAATCCGGTCGCGCTCTCCGCCCGCTGTCCCACGAACCACCACCGGACACGTGTTCCGGGTCGTCCTCCGACCCTTCCACCTCCTCCATGAGGCTCCAGGTTCGGCCCGAGCCTGGCCTGGTCCGGGCAGGAGCCGAGCCTTCATACACCGGATTGAGTGCGTACGAGGCGAACCGGCTGTTCGAGGCGGCGTTAGCACCGACCCCATGATTCCCGGGATGCCACGTGGAGAGTTCGGGAACAGATGCAGAGGAGCCGAGAGCGTGAGGGTGCCAGTTCGTGCGATCGAAAGGCATGGCCTCGCCTATAAGAAGCGAGGCCTCCTGGTGGTGGGTGGGAATGAGGAAGCGTGTGGGAAGGTGGCGGATACAAAATATGTGAGAGTGAACGGGTGAAAGGCTTGTCCGCATCTACAGAGATAAAACGGAGAAATATGATATTGGACGAAGAAAAGCTGATCTTCCATCCGAAAAAAACTAAATCGACGAGTGTGTGGGAAGGCTGAGACGGCTGCCAACCTCGAAGGAGGGAGACGTGGAGAGCTCCGGGATTCCGTGAATGGCGGTCGATGGCCTATTAACGGGACACCGCGAAACCCCCTGACTATAAGAACGGTGAAGAGTCGGTCTGGGTGCAGCAGATGGAAGCATCGCGCCAGGCAAAGGTCCTGAAAGGATTGAAAAAACGAACATGCGGATCGTGAAAACCCCACGCATTTCATTGACGAAACAGCTTCTCAGACGGTGTAGGCTCCGAGAACTTATTGTAAGTAAGGGTCAATTGACGTAATGTCTAAGAACCAGGTGGAACATATAAACGGCGAATTTGAGAAGCAGAAAGCCTCGTTTCGCTATGCTGGCCATGCAAATACACGTGAAAACCTGTTACTACCTGAAGCGGAAGGGCGAGACGTCCAAGGATCAGGAACGGCGGCGTGATCGGATGAAGGCATTCTACCAGTTGTTACCATGGCCATGGACAGTCCTGACAGGATATTAGTTGGTCTCTAAGAATTCTCAACAACCAACTCGCATTCTTCCTGTTGTCACCATAGCCATGGAGCCCTGACGAGAAAATAAGCCGTTCTACGTGAACCTACCCAGTATCGCTACAGTGATTGAATACTCGCATGAAAGGCGATTCGAGAAATTAGGGTTCGGTAACCTGCTTCACTGGTTCAGAGGGACCATTGATCGAGCAAGCAACGAGCCAAGTCAGTTGCGTGCGAAGGAAACACTTCACTCACTGATCGCGTCAACAGAAGATCCTGGTCTGTCACGTACCCTTCTGGAGGATGTTCAGGTTTCATGTCCAACCCAATCAGAAAGGAAGACTGACTGATGGATGATTCATTCATGAAACCCTGGGATTTGATGAAGCAGGAGCGAGGGAGAATGGGAGAGGTGGAAGGGAGGGAAGCGACGGGACGGGTCACGCACGGGATGGGCATGGGACGTTGGAGGCCAGGATGGCTGCCCGCGCCAGTGGTTTCCAGAAGCTAGTAATCTCCGCGCTGGCAGTTTCCCGCGCTGGTGGTTCCCCTCCCTCCCTCCCCGCGCCAGACCAGGTTGTACAGGCTGGGTGGGGTGGGGAGTTCTCAAGGTACGGAGCGGGATTTGTACGGGCGGGGAAATTCTGAGGGTACAGGCGTGCTGAAAGTGGTGGTTGCTTGGTCTGGTGGGCGCTCGATGATGGAACTGACGGCCAGAGATTGCCCGGGGATTACGAACCACAGCGGTAGGTTTGGTTCAGAGACCAGCACATAACTACACGTACGAACCCTCCGATGTGTGGCGGCTGGTGTGGAAAAACCTGACCAAATTTGTTCACGTGCAGGGTGGAGGAATTTGTGGTTTGTGAGGGCGGTTGGGTGGAGGTGAAACACAGGTGAAGGAACAAATGTTTAGGGATACAGTACGAGATCTTCCTTCTGCACGAACAAATCTCATTTTGCTAGAGGGGTTTGGCGGCCCAAACTGTACCTCCGAGCTTTCAGGGTCTGCTCCAAAAAACAGGGCAGTTGCGGTCACCCCAAACCCGAAACCCGAAGTTTTGGGGAATACACAGTAAAACGGAAATGCAATCATACGAGCTTAGGCTTCGTAAACCATAAGGTGCGCTTCCAATGAAACTAATCAAAATATACTGCAGAGAGTCTTAGGGCGTGTTCCTACGGCCCCTTATCAGGGACACCTCGTATCAGTTTCGCATTTTTGCCTGGTAACGTTTTCGAAGGTTTTCGGGTTTAGGGAAATTTCAGTGTGTTGTGACACGAGCCTGATAAGAGGTTGGCCTGATAAGGGGCCGTAGGAACAAGCCCTTGCACTAAACATTTCAGCTTGCATATCAACAGAGGGCACATGGAACAATACTGACTCGCCACAATCTCTACACAAAACCTACGCTAATTTCACCATAAAATACTATCCATGCCATCGTCGCCTGCCTCCAAATATAGAGGCATGTCTAGAGCCCACATGCCAGCATCAACATCTTGACATGCGGCATCGGGATCATCATCTTGGCATTGCTCTAGCTTCATCCCCATGGCTAATGCACCTTGCTCACGTGCACCTGAACCATATGCAGCCAGAGCACCTGAAGCATCGCCGTACACAGCTGGAACACCAACAACAGTGGCAGACCCGGGATCAGCAGCACCTGAAGCAGCACCTGAAGCAGCAGCATCAGGGCCAGAGCTTGAAAACAGTAGGCATGCGGACATGTCAGTGAATTGAGCCGGAAGATCAATAAGCACATCAATGTTACCATTGCTCTCCATTCTCTCTGCCTTTTCAGCCTTCTCCGACTGCTGAAGGAGTCGTGAACCTGGACTGACAGCAGCTGGAGCATCAGCGGCAGCGGAGGCGGCGGCGGCAACAGCTGCTGCTGCAGCTGCAGCAGTAGCAGGGTTTTTGTCAGTGTAGTTTGTGCTAGTAACAGTGGGAATGACACCTGAAGACGGGATGGCACCTGAGGCAGGAATGGCACCTGAAGCGCATGAAACACCTGAGGCACCTGAGGCACCTGAGCCCAGCAGCTTGTTGCAATCTGACAGCTCCGATGCAACTTCGCTTGCAAAACTGAAACACGCCACGGGGAGGTAAAAAAAGAGGGGCAGAGACCAAGGAGAAGAAAGCTTAGAGAAGGAAATCAACCATGGGGTTGGGCTCTGAAAAACTTATGACGTACTGAACCGCGTGGCCTTATAATTCACATGCTCTGCTGGGGATTCAAGTACTGCTGCAGGCTGCTCACCTCTCAGTGTCACTACAGTACTCCTGCATGTACTTGTGCACCTTTCTGTGGCTCTGTCTACACACACAAGTCATTGCGCCTTGCCGTTGCTCCCTTATATACGCACAAATGATGCAACCTTGAGGGCTCACCTCTCAGTGTCACTACAGTACTCCTGCATGTACTTGTGTGCCTTGCTGTTCCTCTTGGTCCGCAGAAACGGAGACATGCCATTGATGCAAGCAGCTGTAGCAGCAGCAGCTGTAGCAGCGGCAGCAGCAGCATCACCAGCGGCAGCAGCAGCATCACCAGCGGCAGCAGCCACGCTGCTGGCGCCAAGAGCACTAACACCTGCAGCAGCAGAACCAGCAACACCACCACCGCAAGCAGCTACAGATGCCGTGCCACCACCAGCACCACCACCAGCACAAGCAGAAGCACCACTATCACCAGCAGCATCAGGAGCAACAGCACCAGCAGCAACATCACCACCACCAGTCGCAGCACCAGCACCAGCAGCAGCCTGGGGGTTTGGGTCGGCGAAGTTTGTCTGGGCATCGGTGCCCCGGATGGTTCTGGCAGCAGCGTCATAGGCCCTAGCAGCGTCCTCTGCTGTGTCATATGTGCCCAGCCACAACCGCACTCCCCTCGCTGGATCCCTAATCTCAGCCGCCCACTGTGACAGAAGCAGGGTATGGACAGAGGGGAGATGGGGTTTAAGGTGAGGGATACTAGCTTCCCTTGACCATTTTCTAATCTCTCAGCCCTGTGTGATTGATTCCTAGCTCTTTGTTCATTTAACACGCATGTTTACAATATAATAACAATAATCAAAGAAAGAGAAAAGAAGAAACCGTCACCTTGCCCCAGGGCCGCTGCCTCACGCCGCGGTAGCGGTGAGCCGCCTTGACCTTGCCCTCGCCCCGTTTCAGCTTCCCGTGCTGCTTCTCCTTCCCCTGCATTCCTTGCATTCCCTGCATTCCCTGCATTCCCTGCATTCCCTGCATTCCCTGCATTCCCTGCATTCCCTGCATGCCTTGCATAGCATGCATGCCCTGTAGCCCTTGCATGCCATGCATCTGTGGCATCACTTGGAACGCTTGCATACCCTGCAGTCCCTGCATGCCTTGCATGGCTTGTAACTCCTGTAGTCCTTGCATGCCCTGCATCCCTTGCATGCCCTGCATCCCTTGTGGCCCCTGCGGCCCGTGCACAGCTTGCTGCCTCTGCATTTCCTGTAACTCCTGCATGCCTGGCATGCTCTGCACCCGCTGCAGACCTTGTATACCTTGCATGCCGTTCATGCCTTGCATGCCGTTCATGCCTTGCATGCCGTTCATGCCTTGCATGCCCTGCATCATATGAAACCCTTGCAAACCCCCCATGCTCCCCACCTCCATCCCCGCCATCCCCGCCATTCCCCCCATGCACGCTACTCCCCCCATTCCCCCCATCCCCGCCATCCCTCCCATTACCCCCATCCCTTGCGGTAGGCTCCCCATCCCCGCTATCTCCGCTCCCCCCTGCTCCTGCACCAAACCCCCCGCGCCCATGATCGGCGCAAAGGCAAAAGCCCCTTCATGCGGCCCGAATGGAAGAAACGGGGAAGCTTCTACCGCGTACAGGGCTCCATACTGCGCCGGCATGTTTTGGCCGGCAGAACTGTCGGCCATTCTGGGCATGGCCGACAAGTAACCCATCGGCATAGACGCGGCGGCTGACGGCGGCGCGACCCGCCAGTACATGGGCGGGTCGTTCCGTGCGCCCTGCACGCCCGCGGGGGAAGCTGCGCCCGCAGGAGCTGCGCCAGCGGAAACACCAGCTGGGGAGCGGGGGAAGGATGCAGGGGGACCCGCGGAAGACGCGCGGGGAGGAGGGTGTGCGGGCCCGACAGTGGCGGATGGAGGGGGGGCGGAGGGCGCGGACAGGGCGGAACGGGCGGAGGAAGCGGACGGAGGGGACGAAGCGGAAGGAGGAGAAATGGCGGAGCGACGAGAGGGAGGGCTGGAAGCGGAAGGAGCGGCGGGAGCAGGCTGAGGGGAAAGACGGGCGGAAGCGGAAGGGGCGGACAGGGCGGACGGGGCGGACGGGGCGGAGGGGGCGGAGGGGGCGGAGGGCAGATTGGGTCGAGCGGGACAGCCGTTCCGCCCTGCTGCTCTCGGCGCTGCCACCGCCGCCGCCGCAGCAGCGGGACCAGCTTGAGCGGGACTCCCTCCTCCCGCAGCTGCCATGTCTGCCGGCCCGTAAAACCCGCCATAAGGTCCGCCGTAACTCACGGGCATGGGATACGGGGAGCAGGGTCCCCCAAGCATTCCCATCGGCATCATGCCAGGCGGCGCGGGGAGCTTGTCGCCGCGATTGGCGGCGCGAATTGCGGCGGACGACACGGGGACGGGAACGGATGCCTGTTTCTGCCACTTGGCGAGTTGCTTCGGGCAAGCCGGCATATGCGGCGGCAAATGCGGCGGTAAGTGCGGCGCGAAGAACGGAGTCGGGTACGACGGCGGAAAGAAGGGCGGCGGCATTGCAAGCGAGGGGTCAAGGGGGAAGGATCGGGAATCGGGGGCGGAAAAAGGGGAGGCGGAAGCGGAAAAGGGGGAGATCCCCGCGGGGGGGGAGAAGGGAAAGGCTCCGGAGGAAGCGGGAAGGCAGCTTTCGGTTGCGCCTTCGCTTCCGGGATCAGTGCCTTGCGCGCGGCGCGTCGCAGCCTGCGGTGGAGAGGGATCAAAGGTCCGCGTTAGAGAATAACTTGCAACAATGGCTGATATCAAGACCGGGACCGGGAGGAGGATCGAAAGGAAGGCTTGTAACTCGACGCTCTGCCTATCGCAATGCAGAATCCAGCTTATCTCAGGCTCGGGATCACCGCCGGCTCGGGATCAAGGCAGGCTCGGAATAGCCAGGCTTGGGATTACCTCGGGTTCGGTCTTAACGCGAGCGGTCTTGACCCAGTGCGTGCCGCAGCTCTCGTCGCCCGACGACGAATCTGTCGCATCGGGGTCCGTCGCATTCGCATGCGTCGCTCGTCCGCGTTTGAAGCAGACCTGATACCGGAAAGTGAGGGGAGTGTAGCAACGTTGGAAAGCAGGACAATAGATACCCAAGAGGAATGTCGATGCGAAATATCGCAGATCGCGAAGGAGAAGCGACTTGGCTGGACCCATTGATACAATGTGGGGCGAAGAACGACCGTAAGCCGTTATGGAATACCTATCCCAGAAAATGTCTCTTTTCGAGAAAACATTCGCTAATACCTTGGTTTTCACGTCATCCCAGTTATCTCCATCGGAGGAGCAGAGAGAGGCGAACTGGCCCGGGCCCATGGAAGGATTGCTAGGGATCAATGCTCCCGCCTGGCCGCCCGGCATCGCGCGAAGCTGACTCGCGTTGAAAGCCAGGGATGGGAGCTTCAGAAAGAGAGAATCTAATGCTATACCCGCCTCTGATCCTTTTCTGATCTATCCACGATACGGAAACAAAAAACGACCAAGCTGGCAACGAGGGGAGATCACGACATCGGCGAAGAAATTCATTTATATGAACGAGGAAGATACTACTGATGGAGGATACTACTGATGGAGGATACTAATGACTAGGGAGGAGTTATGGAGGGTTTGGTTGGTGGACTTGGAGAAGAGGAGGGAGAGGCGGGTAGAGCGGAGTAGCAGAGGAAAGCGGGTGACTGAAAGGAGTGCGCAGAGAAGGAATATCCTGAACTGTTTCGAGGGAAGGTGGTGGGGGGGACGGTTTGGGGTGGGGAACAGTAAGGCGGAAGGGATTGGGTAGGGGGAAGCTGCGGGGTTTGGAAATTTTGGCGCAGGGGGATATTTGTTCGGAGATTTTGTTTTATCTGGCGGGCTGTAGTGAAAGTGGATCTGCATTGCTGCCGTGCTGACACGCGCAGAGACCGAGGGGAGGACAAGTTGGAGCGAAGTGCGGAATTGATCAAGGCGCGGGGAGTGATCGGCGGAAGGGAGTGTAATGAACGGGACGGAAACGACGTGTTCGAGATACATTTCCGTGATCGCAGGGGCGGGATGAAAAAAACACAGAGATCTGCGCTGGAAAGACGCATGATCAGTGTCACCGAATCAGCCTGACAACTGGCTTGCTCGACTTTTAGAACAAAGGGCAGAAAAGAGACTTATTTCTGATCGGGTCAGGTTTCGTTTCGTGAAATCGCGCACACGGTTCCGAACACGGAGAGTGGTACTAGTGGTTATAGGTGAGAGTTTTCACGCGCACTTATCAGTGGAATGGAGAAAATGGAACGCTTTTTAATCATCGGTGTGGCATGGTCGTAGCATCCGTAGTGATCCGTAGTTGAGAAAACCGAATTACGGTCTGGGAAGCTCACAACTGTACTCTGTACAGATTACCTAGGGAAAATAATCGGGCTTGAGCAAGGCTTGCAGTGATGCCCATTCAGCGCGAGCGTACGGGTTCGTTGGTGGGGGGGGGGGGGGGAACCAATCAGCATCTAGTTTTTGCCGGACCCAAGTCCAGCAGGCTTGGCCAGAAATTGGGTTCACGCACTCCACCACGCATAAACCCCAAAATAGTCCAACCCGCTATATACATGCGAGCACTTGTGCAGCACACGTCAACATGCTGCCGTGGCAGTTCCAGCTGATTCGGAAGCTGATGTAGGCATTTTAGCATCCACTACTGATCACGTGGTTTAGTAAGCCAACAGGATCCGGCCCAGAGTCGCGGAATAATTCCTGCGCGTGCGCCAGACCAGCAACTTCAGCAACTGCAGTGATGTTTGGCGTCATTTGCTTTGTGGAGTAGGTTATTGTACTCGAAATCTTTTATCATGGAGTTACTCAAAACGAACCAAATCATGGTGGAGGGCTACGTTGAGGTACTAAACCGTGTATTGTCTCGGCAGTTTGTTACAATGTACCTAGTTATACAATCTGAATTGGAATCCTTAAATAGCAGGTGCACCACCACCAGCAAGAGTAGCTGATAGGTACAATAATCTAGGCACGAAGAACAGGTATGAGCACATGAGCACAATCTAGGCACAGAGAACATATGCACGCACATAAACTCCAGCTAATCAAGCATCCAGGAACACATCTCGGATAAACCTAGCAGTCACCCGAGACGACAGCCGGCTCGCTACTTCAGGCACAATCTGCACAGCAACACTGGGCAGAAGAGAGCCCAGCTCCTGAGACAGCGCCACTGCAGCCATCTGATCCCTCAGCACTGACAACAACGGCCCCTGCTGGGACTGCTGGGGGTTCACCCTTCCATCCACAGCCCACATAGCTTCATCCTCCGTGCTGTACCCACTGCCACTGCTGCTGCTGCTGCTATCACTTCCCCTGCTCAAGAAAGCCACCACCTTTCTTAAGTTCTCCAAAACCGCCCGGTCCTCGTCCGTAACGCGTGGGGTTACTGCATGCACCAGCTCCTGCACCTGCTGCTGCCCGGGCAGCGGCGGCAGCAGCATGAGCAGCGGCAGCGCTCCCGCCAAGGGCGTGTTCCTTATCACAGCGGTCGCGCTTGGCGACAAGGGGTTCGATAAGACGTTCAGCAGCGACGCGATCTGCTCTCTAGCCAACGCGTCCACGCCCTTCACCACCTCGTCGAGAATAAAATCTCGGAAAAAGGCGCCGCGGGGGGAGAGGATGAAGGCCAGTGCCGCCCGGGCATTGCCTGTGTTGCTGAGCTCAGCTTCTGACAGCTGGAGGGAAGCTTCCGGGAAAACGAGGGCGGTGGTGGGGAAGAGGGAGTCGAAGGGGGAGGACGGGAGGAAGGAGGGAGGGAAGAGAGGGGAGGGCTGGGAGGAGGGGGAGGAAGGGAGGGCAACGCTTGTTGAATTAGAAGCACTCCCGTTTACGGTCACAGTCGCAGTTCCATCAGCAGAAATCACCTCTACCACTTCCCCTCCCTCCCCCGCGTCCGCCCCCCAGTCCGCGAATTGCGCGCCCCGCCCTGACTTGGCGTTAGCCGCGAACGTCTCAAACGCTTCCATGACGTCTATAAAGCGATCCGCGTCGAACACTCCGGACCGCCCGTAGATGGTGTATCTCAGCGCGGCGCGCAGGCGTGGGGACGGGTCGGTTAGCAGCCGCTGCGCGATGTACGGATAAGCCGCGTCGACTATAGCGAATTCCGGGTCGCCCACTAACGCGATACCCTCGAGGACGCCTATAGCGCGGATGATCAGCGCGAAGTACGGCGGGATGCGGAAGGGATACTCGAACGTGATCTGCGCAAGATCTGCGGCAAGCTCCTGGAAATTAATCCCCTTCGCGCCGCCGCCCTCCAACGCCTGGTCGAAAACGCGGGCGAGAACCGGCATGATCGGGTTCAGATTCACGCCCTCGGGAATAAAATCCAGGAGAACAAAATCTTCGACGATCGCGGGATAATCGCGGTGGATCAGATGCGCGATCGCCTCGATCATGCCGTACTTCTGCGTGTCCGTGATTCGCGTCATCAGGCCGAAATCGAGCACGCATAGCTTCCCGTCTGGTGTTCGAATCAGGTTTCCGGGATGAGGATCGGCGTGGAATAATCCTGTGTCCAGTAGCTGCTTCAAGTAGCAAATAACGCCGACGTTGACGAGCGAACCCACGTCGTCTGCGGTGCTCTGCGAAAGCTTTTCGCCGTCGATCCACTGGGTTACCAGCACTCGCCGAGAGGTGTACTCCATGAAGGGCTTCGGAACCACGACCTGGGGAAGGTCCTTCGCCATCGATTCGGCGAAAAGGTCCGCGTTGCAAGCTTCGTTAACGTAATCCAGCTCCTCGAAAAATCGCGCGGCCCACTCGTCGACCAATCCCACCACGTCCGTCGCAATCTGGGGAATACCGCGGAGAGCCAGTCCCAGCCGTCGGATGATGTACAAATCAATCGTGACCGTCTCCAGAACATACGGCCGCTGAACCTTCACTGCCACGGCTTCCCCAGTAGATTTGAGTTTACCCTTGTAAACCTGCCCGAGTGACGCTGCTGCAATTGGAGCCGGGCTAAGTTCCGAAAACACCTCCGACGGGGGCAGACCAAGCTCATCCTCCATAAGAGCCATCGCGATATCGTTATCGAACGACGGGACTTTATCGCAAAGTTTCTGTAGCTCCACCATCGCAGCAGGCGACAGGATATCGGGCCGGATACTCAGCGCCTGACCGAGCTTGATATACGCCGGACCTAAGGACGTCACTATTTCTCTCAATTCCATCGCGCGTTTCACCTCGTTCTCCTTCAGCCGCTTCGTAACTATGTCCGCCGCGACCTTCGTTAAAAAATCCCCCGATACAGCGAGAAGCTGCAAGATTCGGCTGAAGATCGCGCCGGGCCGCTTCTGCCAGTAAGTCGCGATTAAATCCGGGTCGTAGACCAGCGGAAGGGCCTCCTCGCCGCCTTTCCCGGTGTCGAACTCCACGAGCCGCATCGTGACGTCAGCATCGGCGAACTGCTCGTCGCGAAGGTTCTGCCCGCGCAATCCCCGCATGAGCGATGCGACCTGGCAGAGCGGGGGTGGGCGATGGAAAGTAGGAACGGGTGGCGGGGAAAGGGGGGGAAAGGAGGCGGAGATTGAGGGGGGAGCAAGAAAAATAATATAAGAAAAGCGAAGGAAGCAGGAAAAATCATTCAAAAATGTAAATGGTGGCAGGAAAGGAAGGAAAAAAACTGGGAAGGGGGAGAAGAACGCGGGGTTGCGCGGTACACCGGGGGAGGGGGAGCGCCGTACCTGCTCGTCTTCCTCCATCTGCGCGCGGATGCGCTTCATGTCCGCCGCCATCTCCCCCACGCGCAGTTTCCGCGGACCCCCCGCTGGTCCCTCCGCTGCGCCGTTCACGCTGTACGCGTCTCCGCTGCCTGCTTTGGACCTATCGGTGACTGCCGCGCGGCACGGAACGGGCTGACTTGGAGAGGACGTACGGTTGGGATTAGCAATTTTGGTACTTAATCGAAGGGGGGGGAAAAAGAAGGAGGAGGATAAGGGAGCAGACCGCGGCGCGGACTCGCGTGACCGAGCGCCTCTAGCCGGGCTAGGGTAATCGTTGGATTTAATGTTTGCGGATAAGATACGTGGGCGATGAAGGCTGGATACGGCAAATGGTATTCTATATGGGGACGCCACTAGCGAGGCTGCTGATTGAACTGACGCCATAGCGTTCAACGCGATCACGGCGACGCGCTTCGCACCCAGCAGCTTGGCAGCGACGGAGGGGCGAATCGTCGCAGACGAGTTTTGCGACGTTTCAATGCGTCGCAGCGACTGGTTACTCCGCACAGGTAAGTAGTGGCAGCCGCGCACAGAGGAGCCAGGTGCTCCAAGCTGAAGCTTGCGGCTGAACAAAAACTGAGGTAGTTTGACAACTGTGAAACAATGAACGGT